GGGGAATCGAGCGCTCCCTTCCAATTCAATGTCATGGCGCAGCTGGCCAATATACCTTCTAGGATTACCCTATATGAGCTCTTGAGGTTGTCCAAAGCCACCAAAAAAGCTCTAATTGAAGCTTTAAAGAACACGGAGAGCTTTATCACTCAAGTCACTCCGATCCCTGAAGCAGCTGAAGATCAGTCTTGCCTGCAATGCTTACAAGCAGCGAGAAGTCTACCCTACATATCATTCACTCAGGAGGATATGCAAGTGAAACATAAACATGACAGATCCATGTACTACACAGGATACATCAGGTCATCAAAAATCAGCCGTGTTCAAGTTGACCGAGGCTCGGCACTCAGCATCATGCCTTACAGAGTCATGCAAATCTTAGGGATTCCTATGCATCGGTTGAACGCTACTCAGACTACCATCTTTGGATTCAACGCTAACAGCACTCGGCCCCTGCAAGCTGAAGAGATTGTCGCTCGGGTCAAGGCTGAAGAAGTTACTCAACCCAAGCCACAACAGCAACACAACCAGAACAATGCGCCGCGCTCCAAGGGAAAGGAGACGTTAGCTGCCGATACAGATGCGCGCATGCCATCTGGGAAGTAAGGCAAAGCACCAAACCAACAAAGAGCGCCTAAGCAATACTCGTTCAAAGAAGAGCATGTGGACACTCTGTTCTAACTACTTCGGAAGAACAACAAATTGCAGCTCCCCGAAATAAGAAAACCAGATGAAGCAGGGAAGGTAGATGACCCCAATTACTGTCGCTATCATAGGTTCTTGGGACATCCTACCAGAAAATGTTATTTGTTCAAAGACATCTTGCAAAATTTGGTGAATGCTAACTTACTTACCCTAAAGCCAGAGCAGAAGACTGTATCCACTAACTTGATTGCGGTCCAGTTCGGTGACTTCCTCCCTGTAACTGCTACAGATGGCGTCATTCCCATCCGTAAAGGGGAAATGCACTTGTAAAACACCGACTTACACAGTCAGAAGGACAGAGGGTTGGTACCCCTCACTACCCCAAAAGGGGATATCATGTGGGTCCATCCTGACCTAACATCAGGATCTTAGGGAATTGAGCGCTCCATTCCAATTCAATGTCATGGCGCAGCTGGCCAATATACCTGCTAGGATTACCCTATATGAGCTCTTGAGATTGTCCAAAACCACCAAAGAAGCTCTAATTGAAGCTTTAAAGAACACGGAGAGCTTTATCACTCAAGTCACTCCGATCCCTGAAGCAGCTGAAGATCAGTCTTGCCTGCAATGCTTACAAGCAGCGAGAAGTCTACCCTACATATCATTCACTCAGGAGGATATGCAAGTGAAACATAAACATGACAGATCCATGTACTACACAGGATACATCAGGTCATCAAAAATCAGCCGTGTTCAAGTTGACCGAGGCTCGGCACTCAGCATCATGCCTTACAGAGTCATGCAAATCTTAGGGATTCCTATGCATCGGTTGAACGCTACTCAGACTACCATCTTTGGATTCAACGCTAACAGCACTCGGCCCCTGGGAAAGATCAAACTCAAATGCCAGATTGGAGACCTCAAGTCCGAGGTGACTTGTTACATCATAGATGCGGACACGTCCTATAATCTATTATTGGGACGACCATGGATTCATGCAAATCGTATTGTCCCGTCTACCCTCCATCAGGTTATGAAGTATGCCAATGAGGAAGGAGAAGTTCGAACCCTGATTGCGGAAAAATACCCTTTCAGAGGAGTGGAAAACTTCCACACAGATTCGGTCTTCTACTCGGAGTCACAGGAGAAAGAAGAGATTGACAGCGGTAATGAAGCAGATGTCGAGCCAGACCCTAAAGGAAATTGTCCATGGGAGTTGAACTTCAATGTAATGGGTCCAGTCGAGAACAATAATAATGTACTGAGTGAGGGCGAGTGGCGCATTAATAAAGATTTTATTTTGGCGTACTTGTCTGATGGATACTTTAAAGCTAGACAAATACAGAATAATACTAAGATAGGTACCGGTTCATGGCACACATTATGCGCCGATGCATCACTAACATTGCCGATTAAGTCATCATTCGCTTCAGATGAAGAAGTAGAAGATGCTCAGAAGGCTTTCTTTAGAGTCTCATCCAAAAAGAAAGGGCAGAAGCACGCCATCTGGGAAGCAAGGCAAAGCACCAAACCAACAAAGAGCGCCTAAGTAATACTCATTCAAAGAAGAGCATGTGAACACTCTGTTCCAACTACTTCAGAAGAACAACAAATTGCAACTCCCCGAAATCAGAAAACCAGATGAAGCAAGGAAGGTAGATGACCCCAATTACTGTCGCTATCATAGGTTCTTGGGACATCCTACCAGAAAATGTTATGTGTTCAAAGACATCTTGCAAAACTTGGTGAACGCTAACGTAATTACCCTAAAGCCGGAGCAGAAGACTGTATCCACTAACTTGATTGCGGTCTAGTTCGGTGACTTCCTCCCTGTAGCTGCTACAGATGGCGTTATTCCCATCCGTAAAGGGGAAATGCACTTGAAAAACACCGACTTACACAGTCAGAAGGACAGGGGGTTGGTACCCCTCACTACCCCAAAAGGGGAGATCATTCATCTCTTTTGAATACTTACTTAAACTCTATTTCTGTCTCTATGGCATGTGTAGATTATTCATCTCTTTAAGTATTAGTCATGGTTATCGTATTTATCCCTATTGAACAATGATAATATATCATGTTGAGAATATCTTCATCTTTTAGAAGCTCAAACGGGACATTGGGAAATTTCTCCAGATAGTAACTTATCAACAAACTTTAATAACGTACCTTTAAATTCTCTGCAACGTGCATCTTCAATTTAGCTAAACTTATTGCAGAATTGACTTTAATAAGGGTTGCATTATTGTTTAGCGAAATCACATATATTAAAGACTCTTCCATTTTGGTTGTTGGAGAAGTTAAGAGGAAAAAGTTAAGAGCGTTTTGGTTGTTGAAGGTTGTTAAAAGTTGTTGAGTAGAATCTAAAGAGGGAAGAAGATATTACCTTGACATGGAACATTAACTTAGTATGTTTCCCTCCAAATTTCCCTTTCCATCAAAAAATTCTCTCCCATCCATTAATACCATTCTTCTCTCTTCTCTTGAACCCATTATATGTCACTTCAACTGTACAATGTAATGAGGGGTTGCCTAATGAGATAAAAAAAATTAACACTCTATAAAAGTGTACAAAATGGTAAATTGGCACTAGTGGAAATTAATGTATCCCTGACGGCAACAACGCTGACGGGAGTTTCCCGTCAGCGATGTTTATATTGCTGACGGGAATTCCCGTCAGCGAAGTTGCCGTCACAATTGAATTATACCCGTCGACGATGTTATCATTGCCGACGGGAAATAAACATCGCTGACGGGAAGCCCGTCAGCGATGTTTGATATAAATTCTAACCGAACAGCCTCTCGTTCCCAAATTAGAAAGCCCTAATTTATATTCGCGCTGTCGCCCTCGACTCCCTTCTGGCAGCTCTGACTCGCCGCCGGCCTAACCCCACTCGACTTCACCGCCCGCCGCCCTCGCCATCACCCCTCGCGGCCGCCCTAGATCGCGATCTCCGTCACCTCCCGCTCCTCCTCTCCGACTCCACCGCCCGTGCGCCGAGGCCCCGAAACCCCGAACCCCCGATCTCTCGCCGGAGCTCGCCGCGGCACCGCCCCCGCTCAACTCGCAGAAACCTCTCTGTAAGTGATTTTTTTAAATTTATTTGTTATAATTTTAGGTTTTGTTGTAAATTTTTAAAATAGTCAATAATAATAACAATAATCCAGGGGTCTATCTGTTACAATAAAACTACAGGGGTACTAAGTTCGAAACAAAAATACGGCTGGGGGTCTATTTGCAATTAACCTTTATCATTTGTGCAAAATACCTTGTATCCTTCTAGCCTTTTGCTAATATCTTGACAATATCTGTCAGTTACGGGAACTAGTTTGCCCTTCCACTTATGTCCAAGTCTTCTTCTTTTATTGAATTTCTCCATTAGTTTTCTCCTCAGCTTAACTACAAGGTCAACAATGGGGAGAAATCTAGCATCTAGGGTCCAAGAATTTAAAGACTCGGATAGATTGTTATTCGTGTTGTTTGTTTCTAGATGGATGTGTAAACTGACTTCTAGACCACACAAATCTATCCTTAGATGCAAACTTGATGTAAGCTTGATGCAAAACATTATCCAAAGCCTTCATATGATCATTGAACTCCTCGCTTGTGTAAGCCCTTGCTCATCCCATACTGCTTGCTCAAAAAAGTATCCTTGAAAGTCCTTTTTAAAATTCTTCCAAAGATGTCTAGTACAAACCCTATGCTCCACTTAAGATAATAATATAGACACTACCTCCAAAAGGCCTTTCTCTTGATCACTAATTATTGATATGTGGCCAATATCACCATGAAAAGCTTGCAACAAGTTTTGCAAGAACCAATACCAACTATCACCACTTTCGCCTTCCACAATAGCAAAAGCAATAGGAAATGAACCATTATTTCCATTTAGAGCATTAGCAGCCAATAATGTGCCAAAATATTTTGACCTCACATGACATCCATCAAGCCCCATGAATGGCCTAATACCGTGTTTGAACCGTTAATACTTGCATCAAGGCAAACAGACATTCTTTAAAATGCATAATCAGATTCCAATTGCACTTTAACATGACTACCAGGATTTCTTTTTAAAAGCGCATGCTTTAAAGATAACACCAAATAAAGAAAGAAATTGACCTTTATATTTTAAAATAGTCAATAATAATAACAATAATCCAGGGGTCTATCTGTTACAATAAAACTACAGGGGTACTAAGTTCGAAACAAAAATACGGCTGGGGGTCTATTTGCAATTAACCTTTATGTTTAATATATTGTGACCATAAAGAAAGAAATTGACAAATTCCAAAACTGAAAACGGAAATAATTATGAGTTCCTTTGGAGAGATTAAAAGTAAGTATATATGTACTTAAAACGATTGGATGAATGGGGCCCACAGATTGATGAGATTTTATCTGATGCAAAAAATGAAATCAGACAAAGATTTGGTGAGTTTGATCAAAAATTTTCATTCCGGGTCTATTAATAAGAAAACATAATCAATTCCAGAATGTTGAAATTTGAATGTTTCCATAATTGTATCCATATCTAATAAACATAATATTCTAAGGTTTCTCTTTTCCTTAATATTTTTTTTCTTCCTTTTTTAGTAAATTCTAAGAGCTTAAGATTGATTAAATAAAAGTGTTGATATATCTATTATTTTTTCTTTGTTGTAGGAGAAAAACTTTACCAGAAAAAAGGACGCCAAGGAAGTGACTTTAAAAAAAAGTTACCACCGGATGGTTTTCGAGCAATTGTGAGATGGGGACATAATGGGATTCCAACCGGACAATGGGCTAATAACTTCAGCTCATACCTTAGATGCTTGATATGGAGGAGTGATAATGTGAATCCTTATTACGAGACTTGGGAGCAGCCATTTCATGTCCTGGAGAGTATATATCGAGATTGTTGGGTAAATTCTTATATTTAGCATAATTATTTTTTAATTCTGTCAATTGTCCATGCTTAACTATATTTTAATTTTTAGAGATATTTTAACATCGAAGACAATCCCGTAGGATGGGAATTTTTATTTGGATACCAGGGAAAGTTCAAGCATTCTCTTCGGGAGTGGAGACATGAGCTAAAGAAGAAATGCTTTGATTGTTTCACTCACAACTGGGAGAGGATATACAAGCGAGATAAGAGGGTTAAGCCTGAGCACTTAGCTGCACTTATAATATTGTGGGGCCAAGAGGAGCACCAGGTAAATATTTATAGTAGTTAATTATCATCAAGTTATTTATCTGAAACTAGTGATATATTTCATTGTATATTATACCATGCACTAAAATTCTCTTTGTTCATGTTGAAGGAAAAATGTAGGAGAAATAAACTTAATCGATGGAAAAAAGATTATGATCATCATACGAGGACTACTTCATTTGCCCAGATTGAGGATCAATTTTGTAGGACAACGGTATAAAGTCTTTTAATCTTCTATATATATTCTCTCCTTTTCTTAGAATATTTGATAAATAAAACTAATAAATATATTTTTAAATCTCAGAACGCTCCCTTTATCCCGCTACCAGAACTACACAGGAGAACGATGGTTCAATTTAAGAAGGGGTACGATGACGATGAGAATAGGAAACAAAAGCTAGAATTGGCCAAGAAAATACAGGTTAACTAATTATCTTAGCTCTTATTAGCCCGTTCTTTTGTTGGGAATTTATTGTTTGCACTCTTCTTTTGGTCATCTTAATTATCATACATGAATTATATGTGTGAATGTGTTAAGGAAGATGCATGCATACATCTATGGTAATGCAAGCTTCTTCATGCACTTTGATTTTATTTTATCTTTTAAATATGATGATTATATTAGGTTGTTTTTATTGTGGGTAAGTATAATATTCATGTTTTTGGTAGATTTTCCATTTGTTCATTTGATATTTAGTAGGTAGGCCTATCTTGCTTCACATTAGGAGGGATTTACTAAGGGAAGGGATTTACTAAGGAGTATGATGCATACATAAACAACTAGCACTTTATCATTGTCATCGTCATCAAGGATGAAAGTGTGATGCTTATAAGTCCTTCCTTTACCCATTTGTTCCATACTCATGGTTTCACTGATTTAATCATCTTAGGCTGACGCTTGTAATATACTATTTAATTTTTTTCATCGTAAAGATAAAAAGAACAAAGAATGAGCAAGAACGAGATGTCTAGGAACTGATGAGAATAAGCATAGAAATTAAGATAAACCGGTATACTAGTTAGAAATAGGAGCTCAAAGGAGTGGCATCAAGTGTCCCATTCAAATTGGTGTTGTTGTGTTTGACAGTAGTGTACAAAATTTTATTGACTCAGAATACTATAGGAATGCCTTATTATGCATTGAAGCAAGCAAGCAACCACAAAAACAATAGCACTGAAGCAAGCAAGCAATCACAAAAACAATACATCATGTAACACTAATACAAGTAAAAAAATGTTAAAGAAAAACAGATGACTCATTACATCCAGGTCAATGCTGTTGTTATTGTTTACACAGAGCAAAAGTTTATACTTAGTGTTCCATTTCTTCCCCGAGTTACTATGACCCATTCGTATAAGGGGCTTGCTTGTTAGGATATAACAATGCATAAGAAATAACATACTGTAACATGATTGATCTACTTGGTTTTATTCTCGAAAACCTTTGAATTGCTGATGACAAAACTTTTCCTATCACCTTACAAGCCAAAGCACCCTTCAACTATTTATTAGCACTTAACACCCTTCTTCACATGTACTTTTATGTTGCACAAAACACCCTTCAACTATTTATTAGCACTTAGCCCGCCTCAGTTGTGGAACTATTTCATCTTTTATTTTACTTGTTCAGGTAAATATCTTTTATTTTTGAAAGGCCAATTCTTAAATTTATTTTTTTGTTTTCTAGGAAGCTCTGGAAAACACATATTCTGAGGTTGTTGCACAGAGCCAAGAGCCCCTGACTAGAGAGCAGAATTATAATGTGAGCCATCTAGTTTGTGGACTTCCTAAAAAAGGGAGGACCAGGTGGATGGGAGTTGGAGCTCAGAGGGTGTCTACACAATTCCAGCCTCCGCCGATTTCAACACCATCGACTATGCCATCGGGGCCCTCTTACATGCCGCAGGAGGATTGCACTCAGCAGGCGATGCAGCTTGTTTCCTCTGTGATGAATATGTTAGATGGTCAGATTCCCGAGGAGATGTAGGATGATATTCAAGAGGAGCTTATGCGAGTGATCCAGCCTACTGCTACTTTTGCGATGGTTTCTAGGCAAATAATGAAATCTTATAGAAGGCGGGTTCCTACTCGGGTGCAAAGCCAGATTATGAACTTCTTGGCCACTCAAAAGGCATTTACTGGTAGTGGAGAGAGTAGCAGACAGGTATACTTATTATATATGTAAAACATGATTACACACAATATTATGTGATTCTAAATTTAAATTATTTTGTTGTTAGATTGGAGATGATACTATTGGGAGCACGAGTCGTAGGGATGGATCCGCAAGTGGCAACGCGGACGATGACATGGATAGGGCGGATGACCTATCTTAGTGAGTTATATCCTAAACTCGTGTTTGTATATTGTGGACATCTTTATAGTTGAGATTATGATACTCGTGTTTGTATATTGTGGATTTAGAACTTATGATATGTGTGTATTGTTTGTTGTGAAAATTATTATTGTGGATTGTTTGTTGTGATACTCGTGTGTATTGTTTGTTGTGAAAATTATTATTGTGGATTGTTTGTTGTGATACTCGTGTGTATTGTTTGTTGTGAAAATTATTATTGTGGATTGTTTGTTGTGATACTCGTGTGTATTGTTTGTTGTGAAAATTATTATTGTGGATTGTTTGTTGTGATACTCGTGTGTATTGTTTGTTGTGAAAATTATTATTGTGGATTTGGAACTTATCGTGAAAAGTGAATGTCATGTGGTATGGTTGCTTGTGCAAAATGTTGTGGATTTGGAACTTATCGTTGAAAAGTGAATGTACATATTTCGAATGTTTGTGAAAATTGATTGGATGAGAGATTAATTGGAAAATTTGGATTGTATTCATTTCGAAGATGTTTTGGAATGCGCATGAAATGTCGTTTGGAGATTGTATGTACAGTGAATTGATATGTACAGGGAACTGAATATATAATCAGCAGAATTTTTTTCAGCTGCTAATACTTATCGCTGACGGGAACCCCCGTCAGCGATCGTATCCCTGACGGGGTTCCGTCAGCGATGTACATAATATCCGTTGATGAGAACACCGTCAGCGATAGGTATCGCTGACGGGAACCCGTCAGCGATATCAATTTACATCGCTGACGGGAATTCCGTCAGCGATAGTATCTTTGACGGGGATCCCGTCAGCGAATTAAGTTCATCGCTGACGGGGATCCCGTCAGCGTTTGTCTGTTCAGCCGACGGACGATCAGTCTCAGTGTGGGCATTACTTCAAAATACAGTATAGGGACCTTATACATTGCTGGGTTAGGGGTATTTTAACATAAAAACTTGGGTTAAAGAGCTTAAATGTGTTTAACTCTAGTTGGAGGTGGGGAGTACATAACATGTATGAGTCATTGCTTGATGGGCCCACCCGTGTACCGCAAACTTCTAACTTGTTACACAAAATTCAGCAAGAAGCTTTTTTATATAAGTAACTGGAAGATAGTATAATTTAAACTCTTATTTACATTTTCAAATTAAATGTTTTGCATTTGTTTAATAATCATGCTCTTCATATGTATTCGAAATGACTTGAAACTTGAAAGCATGTGGTTTTTAGCACATGGGAAGACTTTGGGTTGAATTGGTCATTTTCGGATCTAACCACGCGCCCTATCAGTGTGGACTCAGCCCATCCAACAATCAATTTTGATCATTGAGGATGACAAATCTGTAGGAATCACGTCAACAACTATGACCGAAGGGTCGACCACAATCAACACAGTCGAGTCCTGATTGATTAGTGAGTAGCGTCATGTGAATTTTAAACATTACTAATATATTGCTGACGAAATTAAATAGTTTCTTGACTGAAAACAGGGTAAGATTACCCTGCATATTATAAATATAAAAATATATATATATATATATATATATATTATATATATATATATATATATATATATATATATTATATATATATATGTAAAAAAAATTTCTAATAGTTAAATACATATCCAACGACTGGAGATAGTCTAACCAAAAAAAACATCGAAAAACAGACTAATCTCGAGATGACCTGCTACACAAAAAACAGACTAATTCTCGTTCAAAAAAAAAGAAATTAAATAGTTTCATTAATGGGGTTTTATCGTATTAATTGGAGTCCCAAGTAGTTGTTAGTTTTATATTAGACTCCAAATTCTTTGTTCTAATTAAGATCCATTTAAAAGAAATATGAAGATTTCGAGGCTCTAATTTATAACTGTGAAGATTTGAAGATCTAATATTGAATTAACAAAGATTGAGGGTCTAATATGATAAAAACCCTTTACTAATTTATAATCAGTTAAATAAAAGGAGAAATAGAGAGAGAAACCGAGAGAAGATAGGGGAGGGTAAACTAGCGATCCTCTCTTTTCTCTCTATGGAACAATAAAATAGTATTACTATGCACGTGATGCATGCATGATACAGGATATGGGAGAGTGTTGGACTCGAATAATCATGACTCTCGGATGATTTGTTATTGTTTTTGGAATTTTCTTTACATACTCTAA